GCGGCACTATCTTTACGGCGGTCGTTGCGAGATTTTCACAGATCACAAGAGCCTGCAGTACATCTTCACGCAGAAGGAGCTTAATATGAGACAGCGCCGTTGGCTCGAGCTAGTCAAAGATTACGATTGCTCGATTCAATATCATCCGGGAAAGGTGAACGTCGTTGCTGACGCCCTAAGCCGGAAGGTGAGGGGTGACTTGACGTACGTCGTTACTCAGCAAAGTCCGCTGATTCAGGAGTTCTCCCAGATGCAGCTTCAGGCGGTCGATGCACTTCCTACAACCATTTCGGGGAGTGTCAGTGCCAGTGTCAATGCCATGCAGATTCAGCCTATGCTGAGGGAGAGAATCCGGCGAGAGCAGGCTTCTGACGAGTACGTTCGTGTCATGGATACCAAGGTTCGCGCCGGAGGCATCAAGGGTTTTTACCTAGGTGCCGACGGTGCCTTAGAGTTCAGAGGCAGGATCGTGGTCCCAAAAGTCGAGGCGTTGCAGAAGGAGATATTATCAGAGGCTCATACCGCACCCTATTTAGCCCATCCCGGGAGCACGAAGATGTATAATGACCTGAAAGGGTCGTTCTGGTGGCGCGGAATGAAGAAGGACATCGCTGAGTTTGTCAGGAGATGTTTTACCTGTCAACAAGTGAAGGCCGAACATCAGAGTCCGATCGGCCTCCTGCAACCACTGCCGATTCCGAGGTGGAAGTGGGAGGAAGTTACGATGGATTTCATTACGGGATTACCGAGGTCGTCTGAACATCACGACGCTATTTGGGTCGTGGTCGACAGATTGACTAAGGTCGCTCATTTCTTACCTGTTTCGATAAAAATGTCCTTGGATAAGTTGGCTGAGATATATACCCGTGGGATCATCCGACTCCACGGAGTGCCCGTTACTATCGTATCAGACAGAGATCCCAGATTCGTCAATATATTCTGGCATAGTTTACACGAGGCGATGGGCACGAAGCTAGAGTTCAGTTCAGCCTACCATCCAGAGACAGATGGTTAGTCCGAGCGGACCATTCAGACGCTTGAGGATATGCTACGCGCTTTGGTGGTTGACAGGGGTGCTAAGTGGGAGTCGTTGTTGCCATACACCGAGTTCGCGTACAACAACAACTATCATTCTTCTATTCAGATGGCTCCTTACGAGGCACTTTACGGTCGTAAGTGTCGTTCCCCTTTTTATTGGGACGACGTCGGAGAGCGACGAGTACTCGGTCCGAAGATGATCGAGGAGACGACAGAGCAGGTCGAGTTGATCCGGCAGAGACCCAAGACAGCTCAGAGTCGACAGAAATCTTCAGCCGATCATCATCGACGAGACATTTAGTTCGAGGTTGGCGAGTAAGCTTTTCTTAGAGTTCGTCCTATTCGCGGAGTTGTTCGATTCGGGAAGAGAGGGAAACTGCACCCTCGATTCATTGGCCCGTTCCAAGTTCTCGAGCGAGTAGGTGAAGTCGCGTATCGATTGGCCTTACCTCCCGAGCTAACAGGCATTCATAATGTTTTTCATGCATCTATGTTGCGTAAGTACGTGTGCGACCCCGATCATGTTATTCCTCATTCAGATATTCAGGTTCAGCCAGACTTATCGTACGAGGAGCGACCGGTAGCTGTACTGGACCGTCAGGTTCGTCAGCTCTGGAAGCGAGATGTTCCCCTCGTGCATATTCAGTGGGACCGCCACGGAGCTACTTGGGAGGCAGAAGCCGTTATTCGAGCTCATTTTCCAGATTTTCAGTTTTGATATACATATTTTCATGTTCCATGTACATAGTTCATGTATATTCAGTTATGTTTTGAATTTCCGAGGACGAAAATTTTTAAGGAGGGAGGATTGTAATGTCCCGTCAGTTTATTAATATAAATCATGTTTTAGTTCCGATATATTAATATTGTCGAGTATTAATTTTCGAAATTAATTATTTTCAGTCGAAATTATCTGAAATTATTTTCGACGTTCCGTTTACGTTCGGAATAATTTTGGTAATTAAGCGTTATGTTTAATTAAATAATTAAATATAATTTAGTGATTAATTAACAATTAATCACACTTAGTTCATTAAAAACCGTACCATTTTCCCCCTTTTATTTCCATGTTGCCGTGGGAAATTAATTAATTCTTGCCTCAAATATATCATTGCCGTGTGCATTTTCCTTAGGCAAAGGAAACATTTTCCTTTCCTTTGTAGTAGCATGAGGTGTCATTCTAAGGTGCACTTAGTAATGACTCATAGGATTAAGGGATGAGTTAGCATAAAATGTGCTTCTTTAGCTTCCATGTGTCATGGGCTAAATGAGCCACCAATGCCCATCATCATCATTTTCCCCTTCGGTTTATTATATAAAGGGGCGTATGGGGCCGATTTTTCCTCATCCCCTTATAGCATTTAATAAGTCCTTCCATACTACATAAGAGAGTTAGTGAGATTTGGAGGAGAAAGCACCCCACACCGAGAGCATAGCTTAGCACGCGCGGAGGTTTTGGTGGTTCCGAGCAATTAGAGCGATCGGCAAGCGTTCAAGGAGGTAAACACCGCAAAGCATAGCAAGTAGTCGTACGCAAGAAAGCTTAGGAGTACCGCAAGCTTAGTTCGACTACCGCACACCGTACGCAAGCACGCATGTACACGCGAACACCGAGCAGGGGAGAGGTAACGATGGTTTACCTTAGTCTAATCATGTTAAAGTCATATGAACTCAATATTGCTTTAGTCAGGTCCGATACGGTTTAAATTAGATTCGACCGTACGAATAGAGCACCAAGTACGATCATGTTTTATTCAAATATCTCGAACAAGCTTTGTGTATTCAGTCATTATGTGCAATATCATGTTTATTCAACTTGAGTTGTTCGGGAGAATTTTCTTGTTGTGGGTGACTCGGCCGGGGGACGTGGTCGCGCACGTAGCGCGCACCACGGGCTGGGCACTTGTAACAAGTATGTTAAGTTCAAGTTCTTCGAGCACTTCATGTTATTTTGTTTAGTAAGTGATGTTTCATGTTTAGTTGAGTTTGAATTTTCGAGAGAAAACTGAGTTTGGTCGTAGAACGGCCTAACGCCGTCGGTGGCGCACGGGAGCCCGCCACGTCCATGTTTCACCTTTTGTACAAAAATTCATGTTTTAAGTTATTTCAGCATGTATGATCATTTCATGTCAGTTTAAGTCATTTCAAGTTAA